AAATCAAAATTCTACCTTTTCCTGGGTCAATTTCGTTCTGAACAACCAGGCCCAGGAGCTACGCTTTTAGGCTGGCCTAAATCTATATGTTAGGGTCTTAGAGCGGAACCAAAAATTATGGGGCTAGGAGGGTCATGTGTCCGTTTCCAAATATCACGTTTGGACCATTCGCTATTCAGGAAAGTAACGCAAGAAGACTCTCTGATTTGTCTATTTCGATGCACAGTTTTATTTTATCATTTTTTTCTAGAAGTCGTCAGCTTTATGAAAAATTATAATAATGATAAAATAAAATGTATATGAAACCAGGGCGGGAAAAGGTTGGTGGTGCACGATCTTGATAAAACTGGCCGGTCGACCCATTCAGTTGTACCGTGTACAGCGACTTGGAAGATAGGAGAAAATAAAAGTCAATCTAACTTTTATTACCGTTTAGGATTCCTTGCCGCAGGTTTCTACTCTACTGTTGTGAGTTTAGTAACAAGCAATAAGAGCAATTTCTAACTGTGTGATAAAAGCAACAAATTAATGCTAAAGATTTCGGATTCATCCGTTTTTATCACGTTTTTATGTTTTCAAAAACATGAATGAAGACAAATTTTCTTACTATGTTGAAATGTCCCATTGTCACGCGCGCGCTTTTTGCAGCTGCTTCCCTCAATCTGATAGACGGCGCACTGCGGACAGCCGTGCAGCCAACGTCGCTTCTTCATCAACGAAAAACAAAGAAGCTTGGCCACGAGCTTTCAACTTACGTTTAATATTTACTCTTTGAATAATGAGAACAATCCTCTCTAGAATTATACGAAATCCTATGATTTGATTTGAACGTGGAGTGTAATGGTAAGTAAACCCACTGATGTAGGTTTCATTTGCAGCTTTATAAAGCTTCAGCTTATTCAGACTTGATATTTATATTTCACCAGTACCAGATGTTTTTCGCCTGTCTACGGAACTGGCTTTGTAAAAACGCTACAAGATCTGCTTATACATATTCTGTAGTTTTTACGAGTGTGTGAAAAAGCAGTTTGAAAACGGAGTCAACGAACGCCTACTAAAAAGGCTACGTAGAGATAAATTTAAAGCACTTTAGCTAGCGTTTTTAACAGAAAGTCATTTCTGAAAATTTCCTAATTTCCCAATCATGCGGCTAATGCTGAGCTTATGGTTACACTTCTCGTTTCTTGAATAAGTGAATCTCGGTAAGACTTACGGCGGAGAAACCTCCCGGGAGAAGCTTAAACTCAAGCTCAAGCTTAAATCGATACCGATCTTATGAAAGGTTTCAAACGTTTACCCGGAAAAACTTTGGGAAATGTGAATGCCATGCCTAACGTGATAGTCAAGCTCTTCTTTTTCGATCGCTGGCCCTTACAGTGTGCTAGAGAAGTTATATATTTTATTTGAAATATAAATTAAAAATATCACCATGGCGACGAACTCAACTCAGTCGTTTTCAAAATGTCGGACAAACCCGAAGGCTCCGATACTCACATAGATTCACGAGAGGAAGAAAGTGAAGATACTTCAAAATCTCGTTCTCTAAAGAGTGCAACACATAAACTTAAAGCAGAAGCTTTACGGCGATTACAGCTTGGAGATGCTGACTACGATAATGAAGGCGCGAAAAATAACGAAGGGCGCGAAGGTTCGTCCCACGAAGAGACTGCTGTAGACACTGGAAACGATGGTGGAGAACAGAGCGAAATTGGTCCAGGAGAATCTGATGTCTTGAACAAGGAGAAAGAAGACACTGTAGATGTTACAGATGGTCGCGGTGATGATTCAAACGTCGACGAATCCCGAGAAAGTGGAGGTTTTGGTGAGGATTCAGCGAAACCCAACGACGAGGACATTTTGGGAGATTCTGTTGTTGGTGAAAACATAAAATCTAATCGACAGAATGAGGAGGGATCTGATATATCTGCGCATGTAGACGGTCAAAAAGATCCAAAGGTTAATGATCAAGGTTTATGTAAAGGAAGCGAATCTCTAAGCGAGGGAGAAAACGTAAATCAAGGCATTTCTGATAAGACTGCGAATGAAGGCTCAACTCAAGGACAAGGGGGTACTATGCGCTATTCAAGACCTGGATCGGCGAGCTCACGACCGGGATCAGGCAAAGCAAGACCAGGATCAGGGTCTGAAAAAACAAAAAAAGGAGAAGGAAGTAAACAGAAACCCAGCAGTAGACCTGGATCTGGAGCTGGCAACAGGTCTAGGCCAGGATCGGGGTCTACTAAGGTACCTGGAGGTGGAGGACAAGAGCAGCAACCATCAAGCGGCAGACCTGGTTCAGGCTCAGGTAGCGGGTCTCGACCACAGTCAAGAAGTAAAAGAGGAGCTGCAGGTAAAGATGGTGGAGCTCTTGTGCAAGATGAGTCTGCCAGTGGAGGTGTTGGAGAAGATACCTCAAAGAAAGATGAGGCCTCTCTGGGTGATGGAACGAAACAAACTGCACAAGATATTTCTCAATCCAAAGAAAGCAAGGATAAAGCCGAAGAGGCAACTTCTTCAGATAACACAAGTGAAGGCGTGTCGCAAACATTGGGCATAGGATCGGCTGAACCAGGGCAAGATCACTATGGTGATAAATCAAATTTAGCAGGCTATGATATTGTACATGATAACAATGCTGAAAAGTTAAGTGGTGATAGTAAATCTGAATCAAAAGAAACTGGAGGTGATGATAAAATAAGCGATGATGTATCACCTCCGATGAATGAAGGAGCAGAATCTAAAGATCAAGGCATTGATTCTAAACAAAGTTCTGATTCTCTTTCCAACAATAAACAGGATTCTGAAGCAGCAGAAGCTGGTAAAGATTCCAAGGAAGACAAACAGTCCGAAGAAACCAAAGGTGAGAACCAAACCGCAAGCAGTTCTGATCAGCAAGGAGCAGATGATGCAAAGACTAGTGAACACAAAGGTGCATCAGAGGCATTACAAGGAAAAGATGGTTCTAAAGAGGGTAAAACTGCTGAGGGTGAGGAAACCTCAGTGGCAGTTAAAACTGGTGACAAAGATGGATCAGTTACAGAATCTAGTGTAGAAGGGAAAGAACAAGATGGTACTGCATCCAAATCAGGTTCTGGAGCTGCTGAAGGTGATAAACCAGAAACACAAGCAGATCATGGAGATGGTGGTCAAGATGGTGAAGAAAAATCCTCCGATAAACAAACTGCAGAGAAAGGCAGAATTGATGATGCTGCAGTAGATGAGACTGCGGAAAAGATATCAGATGGCAGTGAGAAAAAGAAAAAGAAGAAAAAGGCAAAGAAGGAGGGTACAGAACGGGAAGAAAGCATGGAGGATGACAACGATGAAGAAGCTGATGAAACAGGAATGGCTGGTAACGAGGCACAAGCAGTTACAGCAAAGCAAACTGAATCAGGTAATAATGTATGTAATAAGAATTAGGATATCAAAATAGTAGAGAGTGAAACTGTGAAAAACTCACTGTTTCATGAAATTTTGCTAAATTGCAAAAATGTTAATCATTACTTAACAAACAATGTAAATTTTTTGAGTTTTTTCACTTGTAAGGCAAGTTAGGCTACGGTGCTGAAATGGTTGGGATGTTGGACTTCAGAATATATGGATTGAATTCTGGGCAGGGTTATGTTTAGCTATGTTCTTGAGCAAGACTCTACTGTCACAGTTATGTTCTCCACTCAGAGAGGGTACAAGCTAATTTGTTACCTAGGGTAGTCTTTGAAAAGTGCTTGGTAGGGGTGAGGGTAGGGAGGTGGGGTCACCTATACCTGCCATGTACTACACTCCCATCCATTAGTGATATCATTAACTACATCATGTGACAGCAGTG